GCCCGGATTGACCGAACGGCCGACACCGACCGGGACCTGCTTTCACTGCGCGCGCCCCTCGCGCCGCCAACCGCGGCAAGGCTTTTCTGACGAGGGGGAAACCCGATTGACAAAGTGGGATGACTTTACTCGTGGATAAGCAACAGGTTGGTCGTGGGCGAGCCCCGTTCAAGATAATGACAAAAATAGAGGAGCTGGGGGCTCGGGGCCCGAGTTGGCCTGGCCAAAAGGTTGCGACAAGATATGAATAATTATATTCGTGTAAAATAAACAATTTATTTCGGTAATTCACTAGATACTGCCTTAACAAGGCAAACAGCAGCACAATAAAAATATTGTGCATAGTTGTACAACTGGGGCAACAATGACAAAAAAAAATTAAAGCATAGAGAGGAAACTCACTAAAACACTTTACAAAACAAGACACAGCTACAGGGTAATTTCAACATCCGGCCATAAATTTAGAGACCAAAATTACAGAGGTTAATACACTACATCCATGTACGGAAGCTTATCAGTAAAGGGCTCAAACTGCCAGTGCTTGTTTTTTTCAAGCAATCACCTAACTTAGCAAAAAATTTATCACATAAAGGACTGGAATGTGCTCAAAGCATCTCCAAGCAAAGCAATGGAACAAGAAAAATGAAGAGTCGTTAATATCCGTTTACCATTCAAATGAAACCCAATAAGGAAGGCCTATTTACAAACAGTCTTAAAAACTAATGTGGTTTGGCACTTCATGTGCTAAACCGCTCCTCAGTCCGAGCTTCCAGGGCGGTAGCTTTCAGGCACTTGCGCAAGACTGTGATGTCTCAATCCCTTAAATACATAACCTTATTATTAAAAATTAAAACGAAAACGAAACTACCAAGCGATGTAGACGGCCGGTCATAGACAGGCCTTAAAAGTATGCAATACTGACTCGACAAGAGAATACTTTCACACAAGGGAAAGAAACTAATTTTAAACCACACAAAAAATTAGATTTGATTTGTGAAGCGAGCGTTTAAAGTGCTAAATAATACGCATCTGGTAATGTGTATTGCAGTATTCAAGGTAAATGACACAGACATGATTTTGCAGGTCATGGGCAAAACAAATCAGTAAAAAAATATATAGACTGTCTTTCAGATGCATATTAGCCAAAAGTTACACCTTTCTCAAATAATGCCGACTGAATTTGGGCCTAATACAAAAGTATTTAAGATTCCGTATTATGACAGAAAACAAGTCACGTATAACTTGAAGGAAACATTTACAGGAATCTCCACAAAACTGGGAACTGAGGCTCCAACAACACAAACGGAAAACGAAATACTGAAGACCCTCGCGACCATGGACGGACGATGACCTGAGCAGGGGGCGGGCGAGGCGTGCACTGGCGCCGTTGAAGGGCACCTCACAGCTTCTGAATGATGTCGGCCTTCTGCTTGAAGTCGACGGAGTCCTTCTTCACCTCGTACTTGCTGCTCTTGCGCGAGGCGAGCTGCATGCGGAACTCGGCGGCCGACATGTTGAGGTTGAGGGCGTTGTTCTGCCGCTCCAGGGTGCCGTTGGCCGAGCTGCGCCCGCTGTCGCCCTGCGGACACGACACAATACGCAATGCATTAATGCAGGAGGTCGACGAGCAGTTCGATGATGCGACTGATGGATGCGATGGGAACCTCCTCCTCCTCCTCCTCCTCCTCCTCGCCTGCCGCGCCCCGCCGGCTGCACGGGCGGACGCTCCGGCACGCGTCCGGGGAAGTCCGTCGCTACCGCTCGGAAGTGATCGCGTGTTCGACCACCAGGAACCTCAGGAACGCGCTCCGATAAGAAACCCCCGGCCGCGGATGTATCTACGGCCAAACTGCAGTGCAGCCCGCCAACACCGACGGGTCGTCAACTCCGATATTACTTCGTGCACCGCCGAGCTGATATTGGACCAATTTACATCGATATTATCATATGAAGTACATCGATATTGCTCATACAAACTATTGGAGATAATACCCGATAATACTGCAATATAACGTCAAATATGTATTACTAATTACTTATTACTAATATTACATATATATTGCCAATAATAGGTAATATTCCTTCGTTCACGACCAGTGGGAGTTGACGACCCCTCGGCCAGCACTAACGCCATTTCGAGGGCACGGTAGTGATAAATACGGCCGATGACGTCGCCAAAAGCTGCACGTCACTCCGACCGCTGGGGGGTCGGACTTTTGGTATTGGTACAAGGAGAAAGACTTGCAATTAGAAGCCCCAGCTAGTCTGACAGAGAAACTCCCACAACAAACGCCTCTTAATAAACCATCGCGATTCCACCGTTCCGGGCAAAAACAACACGACAAGGAAACGCGGGTGGAGCAGGCGCTGCTGTCGATTCCGACACGAGGACAAGGAAGACGGCGAGCGCGTTTAGGTATTCCACAGCGGCGGCGGCGGGCGCCAGCAGCAGCCACAAGGTCTGCCTCCCGCCCCGCCCCGCACGCAACACCTTTTCTCAGGAAAATGCACACCGGCAGCAGAGCAGGCGTCGCGACGCCCGCCCGCCACCACAACTATGCGCCGCCGCCGCCCGGCCCGCCAGCTGGCGGCGCTGCTGTTGTTTGGCGCGCGCAGCCGAAGGTGATGCCTCCGGTGACGCACCGCACGGAGCGCGCCAGTCGACAGCCTTTCGTCATACCTTATTTATTTACACTACCGTTCTTCCGTCCGATTTCTCAGCTCACCGTAGCTTACTTTTCATTACACTAACTCGGGTCACTGCACTGAACACAACCTCGAACAAAATATATCTTCAAATAAAAGAAAAGTTGTGCATTTCATTTGGAAATATGCTTCTGTACTGATACAGTAATAAGTGTGCAACTGCAAGTTTAATACTTGCAAGTGTTCAACTCCGTTGTTAAACACAAGTGGCTAACTCCTCTGTGGGGCATCAATTTCCTTACATTGAGCTTTTGCAAGCATTTGACTTGGACTTTACACCAGGGAAAAGTTACGAGTTGTAACGGGATAAGGTGCGAGACCTCGATACATCGATATCGGGAGCTTATTAAGAACTCGAAGTCAGAATGACATAGAGACATCGCACAGCCCTGGCGTCATCCTTTCAACCTCTCCCGCATCCCTTCACTCCTCTCTGCCCTCCCCTGATCGGTCGGCTCCTGCTCACCTGCGATCCCTCCTGCTGGTCGGGCTCCGGACTCGACTCGGAACTTCTCAGACTGTTTTTCCGCTCGCTGGAGGGAGATTTCGTCTGCAACACAGAAAGGGGAAAGCCATTAGAAAGGGGCATCGCATCACCATTGATAAAAATGAAATGACTAAAAGTGGTTCCCCGGGCGTGGTGGGTGATGTGACCGAGCTGAAGGGTCATCGCCCCTTAAAGACCTTTAGCAGCTGTGACAAGCATCAGCAAATAGTTCAACAGGACTAGAAGCAAGAGAAAAATATTAAAATCTCGTATAAAAATTAAAAATTTGATTGAGTTACCCAGCGACTGCTGCTTTCCTGATTCACAAGTCATGTGGAAACGCAAGTGACTCAGTCGGTAGTCACCATTACTCAGAGGTCGGAGAGTGATCCCCCTCGCCTCGCATGCTTCCAGCGGCGGCGCCACTACATCAGTGACTCAATTTGTGTTAACATTCGCACATTTTTCTGAGATAAGTGATATTTTTGATCCCCATTTTTGCGTGCAGAACAATTTCATCACATGATTTAAGCGATCCATGCTGCACAAAAATGCGATGGTTCCAGATTTATTGCAAAACGGTGCACATAGTGGCATAAGGTTGTAGTAACTCCGTGTATCGCACACATTAACACTGCTTATCCACTGTTAAAAATTACAGTAGTAAATCACTACCAAATGCTCTGGTAATTTTGTTAACAGTGAGATCCTGTAGTCGTGTGCGACTGTAAGTTAGCTCATACTGAAGGAAAGTTCTTTGGGAGCTCAGTCAAGCCGTCTCTGTCCCTCAAATACCACACTGTTGAAAAAAAGTCAGAATAACGAAGAATTCTTTGTGAAAAAAGTTGCCAGAACTCTTTGTGAAATAACAACTCTTCTTCGTTGTCAAATATCGATAACTTCAGAAATTATTACGATTGGTTCACAACTATTTCCAAGTAAGATAAAAAAATGCACGATTTTTGACTGCATAGAAGTGTTGTGATTTCTCAGTTCCTTCGTATCATGAAAGTGTTGGGAAATCACAAAATATTTTCAACTGCAGTCGAACAGAGAACAGATGATGACTGTTGTAGGAAAGTACACAGGACCTGTTCACTGACAAGGTGTTCAACTGGCATGCACATGCACAACACTATGTTGCACACTCTCCAGTGTTTGACTAGGTATTTGAAAACTATAAAGTGTATAAGAGTAAAGTTGAACACTTAAAAGTGTTCAACATGAGGGTTGGCCATATGAAGCTTTAGACACATCAAAGTGTTCAAATTTGCTGTTTAACACTTCGAAGTATGCAAATATCCTATCAAACACTTAGAAGTGTGCAGCATAGTGTTCAGCACGTGCAAGTTCACGCCAGTTGAACACTTTATTTATCAGTGTATGTATTTTGTTTTTGAGTACAGAATTTTTTAAAGTGCCAAAAATACGTGCAAAACTTCATAAACTGATTCCCAGAGGGCTGCCGCGCTTTCAGAGATGGGCGGCGCACAGAGGCTTGTCTAGGCCCGAGGTCTAGGCGGTGACGCGGGCGGGGCGCGCGTGCAGCACGCCACTGCCGGCCTGCACCAGGCGGGCCGCCAGGAGTCAGTTTCTGCAGTCATAGTCACGAGCGAGGGGCCGGACGGCCAGCGCCTGCTCGCCCACAATCAGCTTGATAACTGGCCACCACGCGCGGGCCACATACCGCACACCACGTTCCGCATTCATTCGGGAAACATTCTGGCAAAACTCTCATACCTGCCAGCTGATCGGGCGGGAGGTACACAAATATACGTCGTGCTGGGGTGCTTTTCTCATGGACCTCTCCTCGAGTTCAGGGCTGAATACACAGGCACTTTTCACCCGAAAATAATCGTTAAACACGGGATTCATTTATTCCCCCATCCCCACCCCCCTCAGAAACGACCTGAATTTAAATAAAAGACGGCGGAGATCCGACCCCTGAAATCAACGAAATTTCAGTCCGACTATTTGTACGGCGCGCTTGGTCTCGTAGGCGAGGCGCATCGACTGCCAAAATGAAAACTTTTCCGCCGGGCGCTCCCATCCTTTTGCTCAGAGCTAAAAACGCTTCTCTCCCCCGGCCCCGGAGGCACGCGCCGAGGAGCCGCGCACGCGCTAGAAAGCATGACATGTGCGCGGCCGCCACACCGTGGCCACACCCCGCCGCGCCGCGTGTCACGTGACCACCAAGCTACGCGGGAATTACAATATTATTATATTAATATTATTACAATCAGTTATTATTTATGCAATGAGTACCAACGGATATTTATAATGAACGCGACGTGGTGACAAACATTATTTTTGAGCGCGATTTGAGGCTATGCGCCATACGTCCCACAATGTGAAAAATATTTGCAGGTTTAAAGTAAAAAATTTCCTTTACGTGTGTCGTAAAATAAAAATTCAAAATTGTAAAATTATTACAAGCAGTATGTATTGGCTCGTCGTGAAAGGAGAGGGGGGAGGGGCACACTCTTAGTTCCTTACAAACAGCAGCGTTCGTATTACGAAAAATTGAGTTTGTAAGTACAAAGGATCCGAATCAGCCACATTACAAACGATCTTCCTTTAAATAACGAACAGCCCCGGATCGTAATACAAACCTAGGCTCTTCGTACAAACTATTTGTTTGTATTACAAATGCATTAAATCCTCTGTACGTTACTAAGACCAGTTGTTCTTGCATGCAGTGAATGCAGTGCATGCAGTGCATGTCAACGTTTCACCTGTTTTTAAGCATTTTGTAAATGTATTGTGTAGTGCATTTCGTAATTCTGTGCACAACTTTTTTTTTCCATCATTGCGCCTAATGCCCATATTTCCTATTTGCCGCCTTGCGTGTACCTTTTGTAGGGGTTTTGTTTTTTTCAGTTCCTAACTTAAACACGCCTCACAGACGGCCCATCATGGTTCGGTCGCGCCGCGAGGCCCCACTTTCCAAAACGCCCGCCGTTGGAACGAACGCCCTGTCGCTGCGGCCGCCGAGCCGAGTGGCCGGACACCTCCACGTGGGCTGTACAAGGGCCTAATGGGATGTGACAGACAAGCTGAGGGGAGGGGAGGGGAGGGTCCCCAGGGCGGCGGCGGAGAGCACGCGGCGGTACTCGGCTCTGCTGGCACACTCTCAGAGGTGAAGGGGACCGGGGCGGGGCGGCGGTCCCAGAAGGAGATGAACTCCATTGAGGACAAGGTCGCCCTGCTGGTGCACTCCAGGGCGGGTCGGGTCGGGCGGTGCATACACTCT